ANAANANNATNNTNNTNNTNNTNTNANNNNTNGTCCGTCAAATACAATAATTTATGCTATTTTTATGCATGCATTGTAGAGACCACTCAGGAAATCAGTCAATAGTCACTGAAGAGTAACATGCTGGAGAATGTCAGGGAAAAGTCATAACTCAATATCTCAAACAAGCTCTCAGTAACCTTCTTGCTGGCAATTTGGTGGCTTTCTTTATCTTTGTTTGTTGGTTTCTATCTCCTGTTTTATATTTGTCAGCTTAAAAGATATCAAAATCATCAGAGAAACAGAAGTTTGAACGAGTGTGGTCTCCTGTCATACATATTCATAAAACAATCTTTACTTTTGTTTTCAAGACAATCTCTTATTACTTTTATCTTTTATTAGATCTCCTCGTTTCATATTATAGTTTAAGTGGTGAATGAATTCAGCATTGGCCATTTATCATTTATGAAGATTTGTTGTTTTTAATGCTGTTTCAGATCTATTAACTTACATGTTTCTCTTTCCCCAAGAATGGACCCTGAGTTTTGGTTGGTTGATTTTAAAGACGGTTTTAACATTGTCCATCGTAACTGGCTGAGCCAAAGCGACCAAGGTGTATGTCACCGCAAATGGCCAGATATGAAAAATGATTCAGATCATTACAAGGAAGTTCGCAGAGCAAGGAACCCAGCAGAATCATGGGAAGACAAAGTGATCCTGGAGATCATTGGAAAATTCAGTGAGTCATACATTAGCAAGCTTATTCTCATGACTATTAATGCTATTTTCTGCTTACAAAGATATGGTCAAGCGACAGCTGTTTGACCAATCTGCCATGACTCATTGTATTGCTTTTGACAATCTGTAATAAGTTTGATCTGATCTACTTTTTAGGAACATTTGATGAGGCACGCCTGAAATTTAAGAGGGCAGAAGAGGAGACAGACATCAATTCCGATGCAGGAACACGACGGAAAAGAAGACCAAATCCAAAGTACTTAGAAAGTGATAGTGAAGATCATTTAGTGAAAAAAAAGGTTTCCTTGTCAGCAGCAGACTTCAAATTATTGGAAAAGCTACCTGTACCGCCACTTTCAGGAAGGAACACGTTACATCATTNATTAGCAAGCTTATTCTCATGACTATTAATGCTATTTTCTGCTTACAAAGATATGGTCAAGCGACAGCTGTTTGACCAATCTGCCATGACTCATTGTATTGCTTTTGACAATCTGTAATAAGTTTGATCTGATCTACTTTTTAGGAACATTTGATGAGGCACGCCTGAAATTTAAGAGGGCAGAAGAGGAGACAGACATCAATTCCGANGCAGGAACACGACGGAAAAGAAGACCNAATCCAAAGTACTTAGAAAGTGATAGTGAAGATCATTTAGTGAAAAAAAAGGTTTCCTTGTCAGCAGCAGACTTCAAATTATTGGAAAAGCTACCTGTACCGCCACTTTCAGGAAGGAACACGTTACATCATTATTTCCAACCAAAAGAGTCAGGTATTGTAACATTCTGTTCAATTAGAACTGACTCATTTTAGTGAGAAATGTGCAGCTCTTGAGATTTTGCATNGTTTACCTTGTCATCACTGTCATTTTTTGACCCTAATAAATATTTCTTTATACTTTTTCAGGTCAGTCATCCAGTAAAAGCAGGAAACATGGCAGCAAAACTACACACAGCAGCATTAATAAACATAACAGGAGAGAGAGAAGCAATGCAGAGCAGATTAAACATGGCAAGAATCGCTCAGTGAAAGATAGCAAAAAAACTTTTTCAAAAAAGGATGAGGGAAAAGAGCGCTCTTCCTCTAAAAAGCAAGCAGGGAAAGAGCGTTTTTCTACAGAAAATCAAGAGAAAGAAGAGAACAGTTTTTTTAAGAATTGGGAGGCTAAACAAAGTCCATCTTCAAGCAAGCAAGANGTAAACAAGAGTAGTTATTTGCATACAGAGGGCAAAGAAAGTTTGTCTTCAAGTAAGCGAAATGAGGGGAAAGAGCAAAGTTCCTCTGATGTGCCAAAAGGCAAACTTGCACAGGGCCTTGAAGACATAGTCAAGGTAGTACCAATAACAGAAAGCAGAGGCTTCTTCAAAGAAGATAATAACGTGAATGTAGCAAGTGCATCTCTGAACTCTGGTTTTGGATCAGTAAAATATGTAGAGGACTTTATTTCATTCCCTGCTTCAAATGATGCAGACAAATTGAATGTTGATGAAACATCTCCATCTGAAACTCCGACAACTTTGAACTTAACAGTTCGGAATTTTGAGGCACCAGCCTCTTTTCAAATCAGCCAGGATGAGAGCAACAATGATTTATCCTTATCTGTGAATCCTGCAATCTTCACTAATGAAATAGGTTTGTTTTTTCCCGTTTCTTTTTTCTCCTTCTAAGAGTCATGGAGTTAATAAATTTACCTAATAAATTTATTTTTCAACATTTTTTTACTTCTTTTCCTCAGAGTTTCGGAAGTTTGTTGCTAGAGAGCTACTCAAACTAAGACTCGCAGTAAGACGGCCAAGAGAACTCAATACTACCTTCGTGCATCAAAGATCTGACTGCATACCAGATGAGATTGAAGAAATGAAGTCTTCAGTCGCTGATCTCATACAATGGAACTCAAAATTACTTAAAGACAATGTCTAT